TTTCCAGTAACCGATTTCAATAAAACTTGGTAATTATATGTATGCAATTCCAAGTACTTTTGAGGTCGGGTTTTTTTAGTACTCTATACTGAAATTATATTTTTCTTAAACGTAGTGAGATGTAGAGTTTCAGAATATTACATTACTTGTTAACTGATTTGAACACATTTCGTGGATATTTTCTTGTGTGAAAAATTTTATGCTTCCTCAGCTTCATATGAAATGTCATGTCTAATCTAAATTGTCGTTTGCTTTGCGTTGCGACAGTGAAATACTAATAAAAGGTGTGTTTGAGACTTCGTTATATTGATCTTGTCAGTATGGGAGGACATATTGATAAGATCGGAGCATGTACTGGTGTTGTCCATGAGGCGGATGCGAAGGTCCGTGGGCGGAGCCCCTCCGTCCCGCTCCGCTCTCGACTCGCCATTCTAATTAGCCCATTGTGGTCGCCAGTTTGAGTTTGCGATCGGCCGGCCGGCAGTCACGCCGCCGCCTTTGCCTCAGAGACACGTATTGCGCTCTGCGAAGAACTTACACGCACGCGACCCGGCTCGTCTGTGATGACGATAAGTGATCGACAGTGCTCTTAGTTGATAACAAAAAGCTTTATCACACTTCACTTACTCTGACATGTGGATATTCCCGCAAGATAGACCATTCGCTTGGTACTAAAGTTCTAGTAGTTGGCGCAACACAAGGTAAAACCATTATACTCTACTCGTATACAGCTAAAACTGGCACCATTGTGCGACGATCACTAGATACTGCATTAGAATAATGCAACATGGAATTACTGAACTATTAAAGACTGTATTAATCAGGCAACTCTCCTGGGGCTTAATCAGAAAAAACAATCTGACCCATGTGAGAATATAATATAATTAACAATCTGTTGTAATGCTCTTACCAAAATAATTAAAATGTTATTATGATTTACATCTGGGTAAATAAATAATCGGAAGTACACGGAAAACAACTTTCGTTTGGAAAATTGGATAACTTCTAGATGAAACGACAAACCAATAACTGTGCATCTATGCAAGAAATGTGTGCAAATGTGTAAGGTATTTATCAAGTTTTTATATCGCAGATATTTTGGTTTCGGTCTCTTGTGTTACTCGGATTTATCGATACTAAGTCAAATCAATGTCCTAAAAACAAAAGATTCATTGACATGATTGATCAGGTTATCTTAAATCAAACATTACCTAAGTAAAATCTTAGTAACTCTATCGACAAGGACAATCTAACGAATCTATTACAAGTATCAAATATACTATATAAATCTGTAGCATATAGAAGTTTGACACCTTAAAACTTAAAATTAAGTACTCTACAATCAAGTTCAGATTACTGGTTATAAGAGTTCGTTGAGTCACAGAAATCTCATTTCTCGTACGTGTAAGTTGAAGGCAAATGGAATTTCTATAAAGTTATGTAATAAAGCTGCTTTGTCTCCCTTTATCGCGCATAGAATGATTGTGCATGCATAACTGACCTTCAGTAATAATGCTCCTTGATCGGGCATGCAGCGGTTATAGTGCTGGGTGGCGATGCATCTGGCACTCACCATGAACGACGAAGTGCATAAAATAGTCTATCAGTCTAACATCAAGATTTCAACTTTAATTCTCTTTTCATAAGGTTCCATTTGAGATGAAGGAAACAAAAGAAAATAATCAAATCGTTTCGCGCGTCAGCCGCGAAAGCTATTCCCAGAAATGGAACGTAACACAACGTGAGGAAAATATATGCAGCAGTATTTACACACTAAAGATTAACTCGAGTACAGTTTATTTAGAAAATAATATCATATTGTCACTAGTACTTACTACTCGTGCATAAATCTAATACAATATAGTATTAAAAACATTGCCTTTTGTAACTATTGTTGCAAATCGTATAGCAGGTCTATTATTGCGAAGTAACAACGAAGTTATTTTATTGCCTCGTACAAAAGTAGCTCCATTGTGTAGTAACAGAGTCGTATAAAATGGGTAAACTGTCATAAATACTCATAATACGCCACAACAAACTCTGTTCCCCGTATATCGTTTACCGTCTTTGTAACATTTAAGTCAGCTATGCAATAATGATCTGGGGGTTTACTCTCGTTCTCAGTCCAATATACCTACGTCCGAAACAGTTACTGTCAAATACCTAAGTACTAAAAGACAATGTCAAGTATGAAGCTTCATTCGCATCTTGCGACTTTTAATTTGGTAATCATTATTTGATAAGTATTACTCATTTGACAGTAATTATTTCGAAAGGATGTCAGGCGGAGAACAAGAGTCCAGATGTGTAGCTGTTAACATGCTCCTAAATGCGTTATATTACTGTTCAAACTAGCTCGGTTAATTATGGTTTTCATAAATGCATCAATTTAAATTTTGTTGTGCCCATTGTTGCAGTTATAAAATCAATTAAACAACATCAAAGAACCAACCATTCTTGTTCTAGATTTATCTAATTTGTACTTACGTACAGTCAGGAGCACGTCAAGCTTGACACTTAAGACTTAAATGCAACTCTATACAGCTTACGATAAGAACAGTCCAATGACACTTAAGACTTAAATGCAGCTCTATGCCGCTTACGATATGAACAGTCCAAAGCACAAAGTGTCAAGTTTGATGTGCTCTTGACTGTACCTAGGTATATATTATGTATAATACGTATAAAAATGTATGACCAAACAAAGCAAAAGCAAACTTGTCATATTCGGTCCGATTCATGTTAAATAACGAGATTTATACATATATACAGCAGAAAGTTTCTCACCTAAACGGCTGTAACGGAAAATCTTACCGTTAATAATAAATTAAAGACTAACCTACTCTAGTCTGAATGCGAATATTCGTTAATATTTCAAGTTTTTTAATGAGAAATATGCAACATTTTCTAACTCCACACGGATAAGAAAAAGAACAAGTATTATAGAATTACAGAGATAGGACACAATAGAACGGTAACCAAACAACAATCAGGCCTATCAATGAAGCGCGTGAAAAGCGTTTTTATCCTGTAGGTACCGCTAGTACCGTTCTACGTCCCGTAACGCATATTCAAAATGTACTTTAGCTGTGACGTAAGCACGGGATCACGCTAACGTAATAGATATAATATTTATCACATTTGCCTGTCCCTGGAACTGTGACGACATCTATACGAACAGTGACTCACTGATGCCTACAATGACCTGTTACACCAGTCAGTTCGTTTTTTGCGAGAGTCAATTAGTCATCAACTCTGTCGAGCAAGCTTATGCAATAGATTAACAATTAAGTAATCTTAATGCTCGTACCAGAAATTGTGAACATCTCCAATGGCGTACCCAGGTAGGCGCAGAAAATCAGACCCAGCTCACCCCTAGTAAAATAAGTGTACTAAGAAACAATGTAGAGGCATACACATACCTACCCTATACCTACGCTATACCTACATTTCGATTATTTTCCCTTAGGCTCATTCTAGATGCAGTATTAGTACGCCAATTAACTTCCTCATGAATTATTTACATATTTAATGAAAATATTAGCCTTTCTTTCAATATCGAACATAATAATCGTCATCCAAGTTTCGATGACGAAAGAAGTATGACACTACACTGATATTATTTTGCTATCTATTATTGCTATTATATAGAAAATAGTATCCATAATAAGAAGTATCAATATCAAATGAGATGTAAATTATAAATATTAAAATGGTCGTGATGTGTTTTGGTGACGCCGCCGGCTGGCCGGCGTGGCCATGACATCACCATCATTCGCGTCAGTACGCGTCATTCGACGCAAATCTCGAACCGTTTCACGATTGAATTAATCGATGCTTGTCCAATGTGTAGTACAGCCCCTTGTTATCATAATTAGATCACGCTACTGAGGACTTGTACGATTTGAATCTTCTATCAACGACGGTCAATACGGTAATACCTAGTGTGCTAAATAGTCGTTGCACAATGTTCATAAAGTTTCGAATAGTGTCTTTTTTCACAATAACATCTATACTGTATGGAGATATTTCTATATATTATTTTGTTGGTTCTTTTCTATGTACGTTACACGTCTGTCAAGTTGTCTTAGAGAAATCTATCAAATGGTTCTATGACTGTCGATGACATAGGTATATGATAGTGTCGGCGTTTCCAAACTCTTGTACAATGTGTGCTTTACATACCGTAGGCGGACCCATCAATAATGTACATTTTGTAGATAGACACATGAACGCGTGAGCAGATTACCTGATTGTCTAGTAACGGACTCTCCAATGAGTCATAAATCGCTATCGACATTATATTACAACCAATAAGTTCCTTTGACTCTATTCAACGGGTTCAACAAGTGCAACCTATTGTCCTTGCGCCGGGTACCAAACGGTTATTCATATTGTGTTCTCAACTAAACATATAAATGACGTTTTTTCTAAACTAAGCAGATATTTATAACATAATTTATGATATAACAGTTTTAATCTTACGTATTTCTGCAGGCCTCAGGAACTATTTTAAATAGCAGTGTTAATAAATTCGTATCACGAAAATATTCCTAGTATATTTAAATATAAAAGGAAGGTTGGCTTTTTTTGAGAATATAGGCTAGGTGAGTCCTTCGCACTACAGCAAGTAATGGTAATTAACTGGTCTCGTGTTGATTAACCGTAAAGATAAGTACTGCTGACGACCGCCAGCCGCGCTAGACGGAACTCAATTATAGCTTTGTACCATTCACCCATTGCTGTGTACATTACACCTCACTTGACCCCTTGTATCTGTAAATATGTAGTTGAGATGTTATCCTAATTACTTAATTGGCGAAGTAGTAATTTAAAATAGGATTTGTTTTGTAAAACACTCCACGTCGCTCATTAAACGGAGTTTTCAATCAATGGGTACGTTTTAATAAATAAGAAAGTAGTTACTATGGTCAAACCATTGACTCGTCAATCTGGATTTGAAGTGTTATGATTCACCAATGCGTATATTGTTGTTCCAGATACCGGAGTTCAACCTCGATGGCAGCAGCAGCCTGAAACACAACGGAAGCGCCAAAGATCTAGCTTCCGTTATGGAGAATTTCAAGAAAATATCCCAGAATCAGTTAAACACTCAAGTTACCAGCTCTTCTTCCCAACAGGTAATAAAACTTACTACCACTGTTATGGAGCTAAGGAACACGTTATTCCAAACCAATATTTATATTTTATCATGCACTGGTAGGATTGTGGTAATGACTATACGAAGCGAAATGAAGATGTTTAGAGAAATGCATTTGGGAATGAGAACAAGCGTACATTCCAGACCTCATTACATTCGACGTCAACAGCTGCATTTTGTTAGTATTAAACGAGATTTGCAATTATTTTACAACGGCCTCGATCAGTTGTTTTTTAATAATATCAAGTGACGGGACGAACAAGTCGAACGCCTGATGGTAAGCTGCACTCCCGTCCATAACAGTTGCAGTGCCACTCAAAGTTTTAAATTGCAAAGATTTGAAGAGCACTGCCACTGCGCCCGTAACCCTGACACATAAGTCCCATGTGCCTGTAATTTCAGCACCCTTACCCTTCAAAACCGAAACTGCTGACAAAACTGAAAATGCTGACATTACTGCTTGGCGGCAGAAGTAGGTAAGGTGGCAGTAGGTACTTCCCTGGACGAACTCTTTCACAAGGAGTTCTACTGCTACTAAAAGTTCATAAATTTAAGAGTTTATTTTAAATTAACGGATCGCAAGGAAATAAATAAAACGTGAACAGTGTTGTACGTACTAAGTATTTCGGTACAGTGTAAGTTATTTTGGCTTATCGTCTTATTGAGGCCATCGGATTGCAAAATTGTTTTGGAGGCGTTTGAAATTAGCAATCCTTTGTCATGGAATTAGCACGAGTAGCAGAGATCTTTAATACACATTGTTTTAGCACGAAGCTAGTCGGATCTCTTGTGTAGAGTTAATAGTCAAGAAGGTTCGTTAGTTAGTAATAACGTTTGCGACAGGAATAAATAAATTATCATTTACTTTTAAAAAATAAATAGCTAGGCCACATTTTCAATTCACGACAATGCGACACCATCGCAATGTGCTTAATTCAAACTGGACGCTAAAATAAAAAAGGCATGGAGTCATTGCGATCGCGCGGTGGTTCGACCAGACCGTTCGTTCCCTATGTTGCCCGTGATACCACCAGCAGAACTACTAGTAGTTACACGGGCAATAATAATCTCCCGTGTAACTACTGACAGACCTAGTAGTATCACGGGTAATTGTCTTTGTCCGTAGTACTACCACTAGTAATACGGGCAATAATACTCTCCCGTATTACTACTACCAAGTTAGGAAGCGTTTTATTATTTTTATTAAACGAACGAACCAAAAGCCAAACAATAAAAATGCATTTTAACTAGCCAATACAAATTAACCTTTACACTTATTCAACGTTAGAACTAAGCCCAAACTCATGGTACCACGATTTCGTTTAACTGAGATAAACGATTATTTTAAAGGGAACTGTATGCGTTTTTACAATAAGATTCCGGAGCATATATTAAGATTATCATTTTTAAGTTTAAAAACTACATTAAAAATATTCTGATTGAAAAGTCATATTACAAAATTGAAGACTACGTGTTAGATCAAGATTCAAAGTGTATTCTAAAGCATTTAAGTTTATTTGAAAAGAGCAATCCCTAGAGCTTCTTGCTCGTTCTTCTCAAGGAAGTATCATATCATAGTATCGCATATACACGGAAAACGTCATTTTTAAGATACTACTACTAAACACGTTGACGTGAAATAAATTTACATTAATAATATAAATGTTTTTTTACGTTTACTTGTACGCTTTTAACTTTCTAACAAAAATAATTTCTTATGAAAAGGCATGCCATAACACTGTTTACAAGCACGTGTGATTAAAACAATCTTTAACGTAATTTACACACAACAAACGTCATTTTTAAATTCATGAGATTCACGTAGGTATGCTCCTCCAAATTCACAATACGATTAAAAAAACACCTAATATGCAACCGTGTCCTACTATTTACGGCAGTGTTCGTTAATTGTACGAAAATTTACAAATTAAAAAAAAAAGCAATCCAATGACAACTTGGAAAAATATTAAAATTTTTGTTCTATACTCATATTTCTACATCACCCAAAACTGTTAAATGGTTATAATAAATGTTCTAAACAATTTTTTGATTGAAATGGTAGGTCAATGACTGAAATCATAATTTCAAAGTAATTCAATAAAAGAGAGTTCTTCGCGGGTTCTTCGAGTTCGAGTTCGAGTTCTTCGGGCATTATGAAAAAACACACACAGACACATACAGATTTTTATGAAGAACACGATTTTATTTAATTACTTTTTCAATTAGTGCTGGGTTATGGAATAAATATTTAAGAAATATTTTTTCGGGTCTTTTTTCCTTTCATTTTGCCAAAAGTTGAAGTTACTGAACGAATACGATGGAGCCATTAAAGATTTTTTCCGCAGTTGTAAAATAATTTTAAATCTCGTTTTCTCTATGTGACTTTTAGCTATACAAGAGTTTATTTTATGATTCACGTTAAATAAAACTTTAAAAGATACTTATTTCTAAACGTACAGGGTCAAGAGCACGTCAAGCTTGACACTTTATTGCGTCCGAAATTATATTTTTGAAGTTTTTCGGAAAATTACCCAACAGTAATTTCAATCCAAAAATTTGGCATAACATTATTCCATAACATTTATTATTGCCCTTCAATAATAATACACGGTGGTACCTATATTTAGTTTTTATAAATACCGTTATTCTGTGGTTTTAAGGAGGTTATATTGAAACTCTGTTTGGGGTCGAACCACTATGGGCTGTGACTGGCTGTCCGCCAAGTAACGACGCGATGACGTGGCGTTACGTAGGACGGCGGTGGAACGACTGACTGAGGTGCCCTTAGGGCCTCCTGACACTGGAAATATATATTTTAAACGTCAAGACAATCACTAAATAGAACTCTTTCAAGATTGTGGTCCTCTGTAATTTAAAGTAACGCAATCTTCATAGGTAGTCAAAGAATTTGATTGGATTCCTTTAGAATGCGATTGCGACCCACGCTTGATATCTTGTAGCAGCTTGTAGTATGAGTACGGTATGGATAACGTCAATCGGCAGCCTTTGTTGGAGGTGGCAATCGGCTGCTAGACTACCGAGATTTGATCGCAGGTTCAAGGTTTTCCGTTGCATCCCGCCCACGATTTATGAATCACGTAACTTACCACTCAATCACAGCGTCCACTGCCAAAAGTGACGCAGGAAACTATGTTCGAAATAATTGCTATTATGAGATGTCGCTTTGATTCTATTGGGAATGATTTAGAGCGGCTTTTATAGCGTTCTTAAATTACATATACACCGTGAATCTAAAATTAAATAAATATGTAATATGTACTCAAATATTGATACGCAAAAACTGTTTATAGACATATAAAATTAATAGCACTTTGACATTGCGAATGTTACACAGGCCAGGTAACATTAGCCCTGTCCCTGTCACTCGTGTTGTCGATTGGTTGAGTAATGTCTCCTGCAGTGATCTAAAATTAAAAGAGCTCTGCTATTTTAGAGTTTCTATTTTGTCGCAACCCTGACTTTATTTACTTCTAGTTGCGCCAACACGCGTGACGCCCGCTTACAAACTTCCCTAACATTGGCACTGAACCCCACACTTCTAGTCTAGATAACGAATTCAATCAACTCGTACGTCTAGACTTCCTGGCACAATGCTGATTGAACAATTTTGTGAAAAATTATCACTTCAAAATTACTTGTAATTGTTGGTAGCTTAAAAAGGTTGCATTAGATTATTCTACGGATTTATAACCAATTGAGTTACTGTACATTTAAGAATGGTACTTATTCTCTTTAAATTTACAATTTACAGATGGTATCCAGTACAACATCCAGTAGCGCTGCGACAAGTCAGAGGATGCAAAGTTCTTCACAGCGCCTCCAGATGGCAAAAACTTCCGAGATGAAAGCAAGCTCAATGAAATCCGATCTCTCCGAACTCAAGAGCTCTATTTCAGAAATGAAAAACATTAGGAACTCTGCAATTAACTTTACGCAAAGGTAAGTAAACAATGTTTTACAGTTATAATTACTGGAGAAAACAGTATGTAAGAAGTTACGCACGACACGTTCAGTTTCTTGTGAACACTGATATCGCTTATATACCATTAGCCACAAATCGGTCGAAGCCAGCTCACCTGAGCGACCTTGGCCCTCAGCCAATTTTACTCGCTGTTTCCCTGCGTAGTATTTGCAGTTCTACACCGACAAACAATAGCAACGCTACATTTCCATCGGGCGTTCATTTAATATTCTTTTTGGAAATTCTGTAAAATTTAAGCAGTGGATGTGTAAAAAAATTGTGTAAATATTTATTTCATGTGGATTTCAACTATTTCAGACTAAGAAGCTCAATGGAGAACATAGTAGACCAAGATGATTTGGGGGAGCAACATTTGCCTGATATTCATGAAATTGGTGACATGGGTGATATTAGTGATATGGGAGAGCATACAGGAGAAGGTCCCCTAGTTACATTCCCTGAGTCTGACACCCCACCACCTGTTGGTGACATGCCTCTACTATCTGCCAGTTCTGCCTCTATTGGTTCGAGTTCGGCAAATGAATTGAAATACAGTGCTGCCAGAGTGTCTTCAGCTAGTTCCACAAGGGTTGTCACTGATGGTTTCAGTGCTTCTAGGTCTGAAGCCAACAGTGCCAGGATGAGAAGTTTGAAACATGGAGATTTAAGATACGCCGAGAGAAGCGCTGCTGGAGCATCACACAGACTTTTACAAGCAGAAGGCTTAACTGCAGAACAGAAAGATGCCTATCTTCAGGTAAGTCAACAACTTTATTTTTAAAAATTATTGTATGTAAATACTAACCCGCGAAAACATTAATGAGCGCAATTTAGCGTCTTACAAGATTCTAAAGTGAGTTTGAAAATCGTTAGACGACCGTGAAAGTGTGATAAGTTTAGTGGCAACTAAAGAAACGCCGCCAGGAAGGCGCGCCGAAGGACGTGACCTCGCGTGACCGAGCTCGATCGATATCCTCAGCAAATGCGCCGCCGAATCGTCAGTCTAGTACTACTGTTTGCTACGAAAGCAACCAGGACAAAATGTCGTTTCCGTTTTACGTAATAAACGCATGATGTTGTGATGGAATACCATGGCGGCACGCATAGTTGCATGGTCTGGCAGGATGTTCCGCCGTGGAGGATCTCTGGGGGCGGTGAGTTCATTTATCTCCGTGGGTTTGCTTATCGTCGCGGTAGTGACACCATGCTCTGCTCAGTCGCTGTCGGACCGTCGTGCGCGCGAGCACACGCGGAAGTCAATTGCGCGTGCGCGCACCATTAGTACACGAATAGTCGTATTAAAATAGCCTCGGAATGTCGGCGGGTGGGGGATCGGTACCGTGGCCGGTCCATCGAGGCGTCCTGTCGCGCTTTACACCACAAGAGCAAAATCCTTCGGTGAGAGTCTGTTTCCCCGGAAAATTCTTTCGAACTTCAAGACACGTGACGTCTGTACACAAACTTTAAAATAATCCGAAAAACCCACGAGTTCCGCGCGATTGGCCTATATCCAATACCAACGATAGGACGTATAACGAGAATCGTGACGTACAATTGTTTTCCAATGTAAAAGTAGTTCAGTCCCAGTCGAGCAATTCAGTCTGAAGTGATTCTGTCAAGGGAAAGCTAGTTGAATATGTCTTACAAAAGACGTTCGAGACCTAAATTGCGTATTGCTATGGCTGTAACTATCGCAATAAATATTTATTATATGAAGCGTCGTCGTGTGTGCAAATGTGTCGCTTGTTATATATTAAGTGAATATAGACCGATTGATAAGAAGTTTATTTTAATCACATTAGGGTCATTTCATGATCCAACCAGTAGTAGTATATTTAGTAATGCTTTATTTATTTAATGCAGTGACTAATCAATATGAAATTTCGAATATTTTTGTGAGTAATGCAACTGTAACAAATATTGACTGTTGATTATTGCTGTTTTAGGAGCAAAGATCCTTGAAAGCTGGAGAAGTGACAGCTAAAGAAGCGAATAACATGGCGGCCTCGAGTTCTCGATTGCACACGGAGGAATTTAGCGCCGAGAAAAAGGCTATGGCTACAGCTCAAGCCCGACAAACTGTCACATCTAGCGGCATGTTCAGTCATAAGGAGCGTTCCAGTGTCGCCCACTCTAACATGACGATCTCCAGCAAAAATCTTTCAACAAAATCAATGTTATTGTCCTCACAGGTGAGAAAAATATCATTTTATAAGTCAGGTTTTAAACTGTCTATATAGTAGCATTAATTCTTGCAAAAGCATGTTTGATTTATTTTACTGCTTCAAAACTATGCAAAGTTATGTAACAAAAACACGTTAAATGGTTTCCTCCACGCGCGCTTTACGTAGGTGTGAATTCACCAAAACACAGTACTTAGTCGTACTTTTTGGTATTTCAGATGAGTCAGCTGTTAAATGGAACAATTAAGCCTGGAGATGAGGATTTAACGAATTTAACGTTCGAAGATTTGGATAAGTTGAACGCAAATTCAAATTCAAAGGATGTCGATACGGCAATCCAAAAGTACTGCTCTCGAATGAACGCCTTCATCACGTCAATAAAAAATAACCAAATGGATATGAAAAATGCGTCTGCGAATTTTAATAAATTGAACGAAATGTTAAGAAGGGCATGGGCAGTGCCAACGTACGGACACGAACTCGGATATTCCCTTTGCAATACTCTGAGAACATCTGGTGGCCTTGATATTTTGATGGCGAACTGCTTAGAAACAAATAATAAAGATTTACAGTTTTCGTCAGCAAAGCTTCTTGAACAGTGCCTCACTACAGAAAACCGGGCACATGTCGTGGAAAATGGCCTCGAGAAAGTTGTAAACGTTGCCAACATATGTACAAAAAACTCAAATGTTGACCATTCAAGAATCGGCACAGGAATTTTAGAACACTTGTTTAAACATAGCGAAGGCACATGCAGTGAAGTAATTAAGCTTGGCGGATTAGACTCTGTATTGTTTGAATGTAGACAAAATGATGTGGATACCCTTAGACATTGCGCAACTGCGCTCGCAAACCTGTCGTTGTATGGAGGGGCGGAAAATCAAGAACAAATGATCAAGAGAAAAGTGCCCATGTGGCTGTTTCCATTAGCCTTTCATAATGATGATAATATCAAATATTACGCATGTTTAGCCATTGCAGTATTGGTGGCTAACAAAGAAATTGAGGCAGCCGTTTTAAAATCTGGAACGTTAGATTTAGTTGAGCCTTTCGTGACATCGCACAATCCGTCAGAATTTGCTCGTTCAAATCTTGCACACGCTCACGGGCAAAGCAAAAACTGGCTACAGAGGCTTGTCCCAGTATTAAGTTCAAAGAGGGAGGAGGCGAGAAATTTAGCAGCTTTCCATTTCTGTATGGAAGCCGGAATCAAAAAACAACAAGGGAATACAGAAATATTCAGAGAAATCGGAGCGATAGAATCTTTAAAGAAAGTTGCTAGCTGTCCAAATGCTATAGCCTCTAAGTACGCCGCTCAAGCATTGCGCCTTATTGGAGAAGAGGTACCACACAAATTGTCACAGCAAGTACCACTTTGGTCAATAGAAGATGTACGGGAATGGGTTAAACAAATAGGTTTCGCCGAATATGCGAACAACTTTTACGAGAGTCGGGTTGATGGAGATTTATTACTGCAAATAACAGAGGAAAATCTCAAAGAGGACATTGGTCTACAAAATGGAATCAAACGTAAAAGGTAATTTTAAAATTTTAAAGGTAACATACACTTAACCATCGACGTTTTTAAATACTTTTACAAACATTAATGGGTATTCAAAATTAATTCAGTGAAATTATTTTTAATGCAGATTCACAAGAGAGCTTCATCTACTTAAGAAGATGGCAGACTACACTTCCCGCGACACAAGTAGTTTGAATGAGTTTCTGCAAGGCATTGGCCCTGAATACACCATATATACCTACTCCATGCTGAACGCTGGTGTAGACAAGGAATCCATCCGCAAGCTTAACGAGGAGCAACTTGAAAAGGAATGTCGTATATCTAACAGTATTCACCGAAAACGCATTCTCAACGCTATCACAGGTAAGTCATAAATCAATTTGATAACTTCCTCTCTGGTTTTAAAAGAATTTAGATGGTATACCGCGTGATGTTGTTTAGTTTATGACACCTACAATATTATAAGCTTAAAACTATAATATATCTAATTTGGGATTGGTCATACTTTGTTCATGGTTGAAAAATCGAGAATAACTTCTGGTCTAGGGACCTATTGCCATAGGTACCAATTCTGATTTCCTTTATTTATCGAAAGTTGAGTAGCTTTTTCTAAGATTATGGAGTAATAACATTAAATCTTTAATTATACTACTAACCTTTACTGAATACATCTATCGCATGCGTACTTTAACGTAAATATAATGCGTGTCATCATAAAGCATGAAGGCGCCATAAAGAAATAAATTTTGAACGTATTTCACAATTTATAGCGTATGAAAGCAGTCTACCGAGCAAAGGTGAAGAGATTATGGAGAAGAACCTAGATGTATTTGTGAGTTATCGACGGTCAAATGGATCACAATTGGCTAGTCTGCTGAAGGTCCACTTGCAACTGCGAGGATTCTCCGTGTTCATCGATGTCGAACGACTTGAAGCTGGAAAATTCGACAACAACCTGCTCCAGAGTATAAGACAGGCAAAACACTTTTTGCTTGTCCTGACACCATATGCTCTGGATAGGTGCAAGCATGACAATGAACAAAAAGATTGGGTCCATCGGGTAAGTGCGTGATATTATACCATACCCATAAGCTTTCATTAACTGACTTTGTTTCAAAGTAACTAATTTTTCTTTCATTTTTCAGGAGATAGTGGCAGCGTTGCAATCACAGTGTAATATTGTACCAATTATCGATAACTTCGAGTGGCCGGAACCAGAACACCTACCCGAGGACATGCGAGCCGTTTGTCATTTTAATGGCGTGAGGTGGATACACGATTACCAAGATGCATGCGTGGATAAAGTGGAGAGGTAGGAGACCATCCAATTGTTAAAACTCATGGTCAATTCCAATGGGTTTGACAATAAATAATATATCGACGGTTAATAACCAAGACCATCTATCTACAAAAAGCCAACTTTACAGGAGACGAAAAAAACGTTTCATTTTTTTTCTTTAAATAATTCTATTGTTTTTTTGTTTGATTATTTATTATAAAGGTATAGGAAATAAGGTGTATACATTAAATTTGAAAAATATTCATCAGTTTCATAGTTATTGTAGTTAGCTGATATTAGTTAAAATTTTTGCTCATGTTTGTACAACTTTGCGTAAGTTAGGTGGTATTTTTAATAAAAACAAAATTAAAAGTTATAATTGACGGCTTTAATTAAAAATCAACATCTTATCACTAATACAATTTAATCAACAAAGCATCTCTCATTCGTAAAATTAAAAATGCGGCAATGCGTCATAAAATGGATGACAGTCCTTAGGCAACACATCTTTTAATTGCTGTAGATGATTATATTTCGTCGTCGAAATTGGCAGCATACTATTATGTAATTGGGAGTATTCCACAGGGCTGTTAATTTTGTTCTGTCTCTGAGGCAAAACCACCCACTCTTCGTCAAAATCAAGTTTTATCAGGATGCCACCATCAGGGTTGTATTGAATTGCACGCAGGTCTGTAACAACAGGATCGCCAGCTTTACGTCCTGGTCTTATAGTTTTGTATATAAAAGTAGAATAATCAGCATAATTTTTAAAGAAACTGTAGTCAACTTCGACTACTTCATATTTTTCTTTTGTGCGAGCTTCTTTTGTGATAGATACATAATCACTTGGGAGATGAATCTCCCTATTTTTGAGCTTTCGCTCGATGGCACTGTGAACGGAGTCACACTCCATTTGCGTGTGACCCGGTTCTAAGTACTTATGGGTTATAGTGATGTTGTGCTTGATGCTAAAATTTAGAAGAGCATTAGAAAGAATAGTGTTTCTATTCTGGTAAGTACACCCATCTGAATATATAATAATAGGCAATTGTTTTGGTAGACAATGAAATTCTAAATAGTCAATGACAAAAGAAACAAATGTGCTAGCAGTTAAATCGCTTGCTGTTTCGGTAAACCAGTAGCATTTGCAGTGTCTTGTAGCTAAGTTGAAGATGGTAAAGTTGTGGCAAGTTAATTTTGTTTTGAAATAGAGAGCACTCGCCGTCAAAAATGGACAAACTTTGACTGCTTCCAAGTCCATAGTAAGAACAGTGAGTTTTCCAGAATTGGCAAGTTTTTTGTCAGCCTCCTTTTCTTGACGTGCTCTATTTTTTTTCAAAATGTGCATTTGGAAGGCATGTTCATCATAATTTCCAGTTTGGTGACTAGCGCATGTGTCACACATGTCCTTTTTTAATACGTATAATGCCAAGTTTTTTTTATAGTATTCCTTGTCAAATGCAAATCTACTGACTGTTGGTTCTTCATTTTCTGTGCAATAGTTTTTATAAGTTCTAAATAATTGTGACATGGAGTGGTATGTGGGTTCCAGATACAGTTTGGCCGTTTCTTTCCTTGCGTAATGAGACGGTAGTTTTGGGAGATTGTCAAAAAAATTGCGCAAAGTTAAGGTTTTTCTGCTTAATGGGGTACTTGCCCTAGAATTACGAATATTTTGACTGGACACCATTGCAAATTCTGCTTGTTTCACCCAAGACTGTACGGCAGAAGAACAAAGCGATAAGGTATTAAGAAACATTTGTTTGCAAACCTGGACTTTCTTGTCTGATTCGAGTGGCAAATAATAGTGGAGTGTTCCTTCTCGTCGTGAAGTTTCATGGGCAGCTTTTGTATGGCGGGCTGTAACAGAGCGCGTCACAAGACCAGCAACATAAACTCTACGTTGATCCCAGTTCATAGTTTTCCAGAATGTATAGTGTATGGATTTTCTAGTCTCCTCTTCGAACTTTTGACAACTTCTTACCATGCTCTTTTGACAAAAATTTGACGTACACCTTGGCCCCAATATTTTTGCAGAACGAGTTTGGTCTTGTACAGCTTTGCAACCTTTCGGTTTCCTATATCCAATATATTCTTCACCAAGCATGCGAAGTTTCTTAGCTTTTGTTTTTTTCCAAGAATTTTCGTCTCTGATATGACGACGCTTTCGTCCTTCATTCATATCTCCAAAATCGTCGTCATGTTCTTCGCACTCACTTTCACAGTAAGTCACATCGCTATCTTCATTATCACAGTAGACAGATGAGTTGGGAAGAGTAGGAGTTTTAGAAATAGGTGAAACAAAATGAAGTGAAGGTGGAGCTGACATATTTCTCGTTCTGATAAAAGATTTTCGGTCTGAAGCGTCAGAAGTTAAATCGGATAAAGAAACATGTTTTTTCAAGTAACCATTTGCAATCATACGTTTCTTAGAGTAATCATCTGTAAGTTCTAAGAATCCAACATTCACGCTACTTGAGAGAGTTTCAAACTTCTGAATACTGCAATGCGCTTTCGGTGATGCATTTTCTTGTGGATGCTCATCTGAAAACCAATACGACCTTTATATCTAGGTACAATCTATGGTACTACCTATTGCATTAAGAAGATGACATCGATTTAATATCCATTTAAGAGAACTTTTGAAAAAGCATTGGATAACTAGTTCAATTATTAAATTAAATAAATTTTAACTCACCGGATGTAGAACTTATTGAATTTCTCTCATTTTGCTTAAGTTCTGCCAAAATTCGACGAGCCCTCCAGCCTTGACAAAATTGCGACATTTTGACTGTAACCAAAATATAAGTTACTACCGTACTTTACCGTTTGCGTTACAAATTCTACATTTAAAAATACCCAAATTAAAATCTAGGCGCCGAACCGTAACTTTTCCCAAAAGTCTTCAAGTAATAACATCTATCTGCCCACATTGACAATACTAATTTTGGATGCTAAATATCACCTATCTACGTATTTTTGTTATTGCGCTGAGAAATAAAATTTTGTTTTGGCTGGGTCCAGTTACGTAGTACCTAACCTACCTCGGATTTAAAACCAAACAAACCCTTAGTGCTCACACGATAAACACTAAAAAAATTCGCACTTATTATTAACAGAAATATAACCTAACTACACCGAAAACACTGGATTTTGGTTTCAATATCGCCTATGTTACATGTTTTCTAATTTACATTAGAAAACATGTAACATAGGCGATACTTACGTATCGAGTAAAAATATTTATTTGATGAAATAATTCCACAAGTAAAGACATATCGCCATAAAATTAACGTATTTCAATTTGAAAACCCAAATCAATGTATGAAAATAAATATTAGCATTACTTTTACCGAATACTACAATAAAGATAAATAATAATGATACTTACTTATTAATACACGTTTGTAACACTTGTAATTTCACCAATTTACTCTAATTATACCGTAACACAAACAAATAACTTTACATTAAACCACAGAATGCATGTCCGCACCTGTATTGTTACGAAATGTCAACATTGTCACTACAAATCACCCTCAGCATCACCCCCGCCCGCGATTTTTTGCATCCCCTCTCTTTCTAACAGCGTTACATCTCACTTTGACGCCTAACGGTCAAGGTCTCACTCTCTTCGACTCACTTCGCAACGCGCATTAAACGAGTAAGCACGCGTTCGCTGTAGATAGATGGTATTTCCGGAGATTTATTACGTCGTGGAACTTAGACGGTATTTCTATTACATCATAACTCCTTATTTATTGTGATTTTGAGTTAGTGGTTTTAAGAGAACGATGCGTATTTAGGCCTTAAAAAGAACTGCATTAAAACTAAAATTCGAAAAAAGTGTAGATAGATGGTCTTGGTTATTAACCGTCGATATTACAGTTTGATCTGAAAATGAAGACAAGTTTTATATTACACTTTTATGTAATTTTCTTTACAGCTTTCTACGCGGAAAGTCCAACCTTACTCGTTTGGACGGTGCTTTGAGAGGGCGAAGTGACGTACCAACCCCAGGAACTGCAGCTATCGGCCGAGGCCAACCCAGCTTCCAACGCATGACCTCTTGTGAAAGTAGAGGAAGCGATAAAGCAGATTGACTAGAACTAATGCACACCCTGCCGCCTGTTAGGTAAATAAGCGTACCGAATTTAAAAAATATATTTCCGCAAAGCATTTTTTACGTGAAATAGCAAACAATTTCCTTTTACAACTAATATATTAATCGATACTTATGTCCAATTTGTTTCAGACCGCGAAGAAGTCGCAGATCATCCATGAAAAAATCTTCACATGCTATTACACAGAGCTGTGATCAATTACCCTCTAGCAGCATATCATCAGATACTGCATCTCCAGAAAAATGCTTATATAACTTACCCGAAAGACTGGCTGAAAGTAGTAATACCTTAAATGCCATCGAACTAGATAAAAACTCACGGAGATGTCGTAGCTGTGAAGGTATTTTAGACGCCGAAGAGCAAACGCACAAAAATAAATTATTTCCGACGCCTTTAGATGCTACCGCGCAGACAAAAAGAAAGAAGAACTTTATGGACAGATGTGTGAACAAAGTGAGACTGTGCTGAGTGGTGCATAAAAACTTTAAATTACAAACATGTGCTTGCAGAGTGTGTAACCATATAGACTGCCTTATTGGACTAGTGCCGTATATATGTGAATCTTAATTTAATGAAGTACAAAAGTGTGCACAATTGTGTAAATATTTTGCATTATGCCAGTAGGTATCTGAATGTTAAATATTAAAATAATGTGTCCTGCAGCACATAATTCGATGGAAACCCAAAAAGTTGTAATCTCAATGTGTGCTTGGTAATATGTTTACCGCTGAGATGTGCCTAATGATTGCTACCCTGCAATGTTCGGATAACACTGCATGAGGTGGCGACGATGCTGACTAAGATGCCAGTTTGCTATTCGTTGTAGTATAGCAAATTGCTTTATTCCTTAACTTTCGCAATATAATTTCTCTCTATCTCTTCACTCTCTACAGAATTTACAAATGAATTTAAGGATATATTTTATTTCTCTTGTTTTAGTATCTTGCCAATGAAGTATTTGAAAAATACGAGAATTGAACGAAATTATAATTTGCATTGTGATAGCTCAGATCTTTTAGACATGTAAAATTATTTTAAACACTCGAAAATATGGAATTGTTGTTTGTATCTTATTTATTTCTCTCTTACATGTTCAATTCTAAAAATGTCTAGTGCCTACCTATCTATTATGGTAGATTTGTACAAATTTTACTTCAGGTTTATGCATAGTTTGTTAATATAGTCATTCAATATGAGTTAACCATACTATAAAGTCTATATATTTGTTTATTGTCTAACCATTCAATAAATGGTATACATAATCCTAAATTTTTATTTTATTTATTTTGTATACACATACACTCCCTTAAATGAATATCTACTGACTATATTAATGCAAAATACACTTACCTCTACATTTCCTTTTGATCATAATCATCTTTAAAGTCATATAAAAGCCAAAATATAAAAATAAAAAACAATTATAGACTCAACTGTATGTAGTAATTCTCGATTGTACAATACATACAAAAATAAAACATTTACAATAAATAGCTTACCTATATCATTTGTTAGTACAACAATTACATATTGTATATATCAAAAAGAAAATAAATAATTGTTATTAAATTACATAAAAATACTAATAATATAATTGACTACTATCTACTATAAACAAGAGTAGAGAAAATAATTCTTCATGCATAATTACTTGAAGCTGTCGTCTACAGAACAGTTGAAGGAATTATAACATCTTATTTGTAGTCCATGTACAGGTACAAACACCCTCAAACGTAATAATAAAAACTTTAAGTACCTTAAAACCTACAATTATAGGGCCCATTACACTTTCTTTAGTTAAGTAGTGAGGTATCTTACTAAAATGGTATGTCAAATTATTCAAATGGTGAACAGAAAATTGTCACAAAATATAAACCTATTCGATTAAACAGTAGTAAAGATATTCAATAAATAGCATCTGAGAGATAACACCCATATGACTTTTATAGTTGAAGCCAGATATGAGATGCTCACATAGCAAATGAGGATGCAATAAAATAATTTAAAAAGTATTTGCATGTATCAAGTTCTTAGATTTTCGCCATTGTTACACATTGGCCATGAAGCTATTTTTTTTTAATATAAATCTTGTATATTTATTTTTTCAAACAAACCAACTTTTGGGAAACTACAGGTTCCATGATCGTGGTTGGTTTATTTGAAAAAATAAATATATACTCTATTTCGGTCTAAAAGATAGTTTCATTTCCATTGTACATAATGCCTTTTGTTTATCTCCATTACTAATGTCGGTAATGTCAGTCTTAATGAGAATTTAATTATAATAAATTAATTCAGAGTCAATGCCAAGAACAATACTGGAGGATCGTCTTGGCTTCAACTGCTTTGATCTTCTCTAGTTGAGAAATGGTTCCCTTCCCAGAGTTGTAGTATGCGCGCCCATCAAGTTGCAGTATAGACAACATATAGATTACTGTTACAGATGAGTAAAGCAGTTTTAAAAAGTAACTCTTGTGTAATGCACGATTTGAATTTTAAATTAAATTTGTTTAAAAGTTGCCATTAAATTTTTTAAGTCTTCAATTACTCCTACCGCACTTCTCTCGCACCAACCAAATACACCTATTTGTATTTACTAATTACTTGATAAATTAAGCATAATTTAGTGAAAAAGTGAATTAACCTACCAAGTTAGTTCCCTACCTAACTAAAGGGTGTATACTTGAAACATCGAGTATATAACTAGAAATAGAGATGAAATGTCATTTAATTTGTGTGAAAACTCTTGTGCCAAATCATTACAATGACTGCGCTCTGATTCGCCAGATCGAATTCGAATATTATCTTTATTACAATAAATAGAGATTATTTTTAGTTGTTGGTGCTGTACTATTTCAGCTTTCTAATTTATGACTTCAGTGCAAACGAGAGTTGAGATTGAAAAGTGATATAAGGCCCATTTGCTTGTTGAGTTGCCAGGGATGAATGGCCCCTATTTCGTCTCTATTTCTGGGTATATACTTGACGACTTGAAAAGATCACAATAATATACAACAATAATAATAATAAGATAATATACAATATTTAATTATCGTGCTATATAAAATCTAACAATAAAATCATAGTTTGATATATACTTGTACAGAAAAGGAGCATTCATCGCAGCCAAGAATCACTTTAGTGTCATGCACTTCAGAAGAATCCAACAAATACATTCCACCACATCTACAATAATATGTGTAAAAACTTTCACTTGGGTCCAATTCCATATCGGAGAGGTTTATTGTATCATAAAGAAGTAAATCACTGTGTTCCTGGCAGATAAGTTGTGCATCATACAGTTTTCGACTTTCAGGGTACTTTAACACTGACCAAGCCTTCTGCACAAGATGAAATACACCTTCGTCTCCATTCCCAATTTTATCAGGATGTAGTAATAATATTAGCTTCTGGTAATTCTTTTTTAAATCTTCAAAAGATGCGTTTCTATCACACTGAAGCACTTTGTAAAAATCTACGAAGTTCTCCTTTGCCGCCATTTTCGAAAATCATACCAACCGTCGGCTGGAAAGTTTGGTTACTTGTTATGTGATCTGTGGTCACTTGTCATTACTTTTCAAAAGAAGTTTTATTTCATAGCGTTGGTGTTAATACTTTCTTATAAAACGTTTGTCCCCAACAATAAGATTGTCACTCTAGTAATCACATACACATCTGTTCATTGTAATCATAATATTATTATGTTCCTGATAGAAATTCATAATTATTGATATTTATGCATATTTTCCTTAAACTTTCCTTTATTTTTTCCACCCTCAAAGACATTTTCCAATTTCCCATACAGTTGGCACAGAAAAATAGTTTTGCAAGACCATTACATTCACCTTAGAGGATGGAAAAAATAGTATAAAATATTCACAGACTACGATTTTCTATTCTATTCTATTTTAAGTTTCTAGCTTCTCTTGAAGAATTTTGCCAATGTCAAGTCAGTCATGGGAGTTACACTCATTATGTACAAAACAGTTACACGACTACAATCACAAACGAGATAACTACAATCACAGAACACTAATATTGTTCTGTGCACTATACTCACAAGGCTACAATTCTACATGCGATCACGGCGATGACATTTTATATTTTTAATTTTTTTTGTTTTGTTTCTGGCACTTCGCGGTTTGCGTTTGAGCCATTGCAAAACGGGGAACGATTCACTGAAAACGATGGAAAGGAAAAGTAATTTCGAAGAATGAATCATGGAAGTGCGATTAAGGTTAAATAGAAATACATAAACATAAAAATTATATGACAAATCCCAAGGAGCACACTTTATACGCCTTAAAACTGTTATGTCTATAAACAGTCTTAATAAGATTTAGTTAATAGTTCTCTACAAATGGTTTAAAAAAAAGAAATTGTTCTTATAAACTTATTTCCTTCAAGTCAAAATTTTAAACCCTTCTTAATACCAAACAACTTAATTAATTGTAATCTCTCTTAAGATTTACTCTTATGGTTTATTATTTACTCTTATTAGTTCATCTGTAGAACAACTGGTTATTTTTAGTAAAATTGTTTTATACACATCCAGTAAAGTCTATTAATACTCTAAAAACTAGTGTTGTTAAGTTTATTCTAGATATATTTAATTTATAGACATTCTGTAGTATTTGCACTTATTGACAAACACGATAAAGCGCGTCTTCAGTAGATTTTATTTAAAAAAATACTACAATTAGGGTTTTTACTCTATTGGACGTTGTAAGAGTTCATGCAAAATGGATAAAGTAAAAAATCTGGTGGATGTGGTGAACCTTGGATATTAAGTCACATCATTCGATACAATCAGCGTTGCCAATGCCAATTGTTTAAAATCCCCAAAAATCACGGTTAAAATCCCCAAATTTGAGGAGACCAAAGTTCATATTCCCCACAAATTTCCCACATCTCGAGTTTTCATTATTTATTAGAAATACATGGCTTAAAAATATAATAAAGAATTAAGAAACTCTAAATGTAATAATCTATTACGTTTGCTGTGAATGTAAACCGAATGTAAAATGTAAAACTAATTATAAAATAAGATGACGTTAAATCGTTTATTAATTATAATTAGATTCAACATTAATCTGTAACGAGTCTTTGAAAAAAGTCATTTTTCTTTGCCTTATAAAATTAAGTAAATTGATTATTTGTTGTGTATTTGGTGACAGTATGTTAATGTTAGAAATAATGAGTTTCGACCTATATTTAATATTTAAAGTTGACGAGTGGTAAGTTGTGGTGTGGAAGTACCAAGGGCTCGGCTTTGTTTATCAATAGCTGATTTCGTTTTGCTTC